CAACCCCTTAATATATAGTAATACTACAATCTATGCTAATATCTTGTTGAGCAGTAATTTTGCCCAGATTAGACACTAGTATCCGATCCATGAGCCAATCCTATACCAGTACCGGGTAATTCGAGCTTTCTCGAGAATCTATTCTTTTATTCTATAGAATTTCTTCTCAATTACATCGACCCTGTCGGCTCACCTGGCATTCGGGCTTTCCTATCTTTCCTATTGAGATTGGATTTGAACCAATGACTTTTTCCGTATGAAAGCGTGACTCTAACACTTGTGGTAGGACCTGCCCCCGGTCAGAAATAGCTATCTTGCTGATCCACCTGTGAATACTATTAATGAAAGCTCTTTCACCCTGCCCGCGGGTAATGCCAGGGTTGGCAATCCTCTAGTCAGCACTCACAGCAGTAGAAGGAGAGGGAAGAGAAAGGATCGATCCGGCACAAAGGAATTTCTTTAGGTAGGTAAAGGCTCAAGGCCTAGCTCTTAAAGCTTGCTTAAATGAATCGTCGTATAAAGAATTAATAACTGCGTACTTATGTCATGATGAGAGATAAAATTTAGAAATCCACTTATGTAATAGAGTCGATCTAAGCTAATCCCCCATGGGCCCAAGTACTCTGGCGCTTGACACTAAGAAAACTCAATCTTTAGAATTGGCCAAAGAGGGCATGCGACGACTCCAATTCACTGTATCCAAGCAAAGCTACGTAGACTTCGCTATGACACTAATCGCTTCGGTAAAATCAAGTACTTTGATTGTCCAATCTGCCAAAACTACAGAGAAGTTACGCCTTTGGATAAGAAAGATAAGGGTAAATCATCTACTTTACGCCTCCAAACATTCCGAATACAGGTTTTGGAACATTGAGAAGCCAGTGTGGGAGCTAAGTTAAGATCTTGTCTGTCTGTTATTTTGCCAAGTTTAGCTATTAATATGGTTCTTGAGACGAACTATTTTCTTACAGGGTATAGCTTTTTCAGATTGAGCCCCATATATTCAAAGATTTCCAATGATTTGCATTTCTTTTTATTTTTTTCCTAATGGAATTTAGTTATTTCCTACGTCAAGCATTGAGAACCAAGATATGTAGCGACCTGTCGGAGCCTGATACATATTAAATTTTTATTTCTTTTTCAGATATATGGACCGGAAAGTAGTGGAAAGACCACTTTAGCTCTTCACGCAATTGCCGAAGTGCAGGTCTAGTATGTTCTTATTACTTCTATCAGTTATTCATCTGATCAAGACCCATTATACTGAGTGCATGCATCGATAAGTTAGTTTCTAACCTCTTATGCTTGATTTTCATACATCCTACACTTGATAAACAGTTTGGCACTCTTTAATTTTGAACAGAGATTGGGAGGTAATGCTATGCTTGTCGATGCTGAACATGCTTTTGATCCGGCTTATTCGAAAGCTCTGGGAGTTGATGTTGAAAATTTGATCGTGTGCCAACCTGATAATGGGGAGATGGCTTTGGAGAGTAATTTTTCCTTCCCTTTATTGACATTCAACGAAATTAAATTAACCATGGCTGTCACATTGACGTCCCTCTGTTAAGGCTCACGTATTTGTGAAATTATATTACCAAGCTTTTGTATTGTATGTTTCAGTTGCCGATCGCATTTGTAGATCTGGTGCTGTCGATCTCATCTGCATCGATTCTGTCTCAGCCCTTACTCCACGAGCTGAGATTGAAGTAAGTTACACGACTTATCTGCACAGTGTCATCTTCTTCATGTGTGAACATTTTCTTAGTATTTTCTTTCTCCGTAGGGAGAGATTGGAATGCAACAAATGGGTCTGCAAGCACGCCTTATGAGCCAAGCGTTGCGTAAGATGTCAGGCAATGCTTCTAAAGCTGGATGCACTCTTATATTTTTGAATCAAATTAGATACAAGGTATTTCGGTTTAAATATCTTTTATTGCTGCCAAATTTTGAGGCGAATCGCCAATTCTCTCTGGTGGAAAGGTTGAGCAACATTATTGTATATGATAAATTTTTTTTAGTAGACAACTTACATTGTTTTAACTGCATCGTTATTACTTTGAAGCCTAGTGATATTGTGATTTTATCTGAACCAGATAGGAGTATACTATGGAAATCCTGAAGTTACGAGTGGTGGAATTGCGCTTAAGTTTTTCGCATCTGTCCGGCTTGAGATACGTCCTATTGGCAAGATAAAATCCGTAAGCCTTCTATATGCAGTTTTGGTTATAAATTGTTCAATCAGTATACTTGCACCTTAAATTGTATGTGTTCTTATAGGTTAAAGGAGACGAAGACGTTGGCCTTAAAGTTCGTGTAAGAGTTCAAAAGAGTAAGGTAACTGATATAAGATAATGATGCTGTCTTCATGCACATATTTCACTTCGTTAAAATTGCATATGAATTGTATATGCTTATTGAATGTTAAAGGCGAGATTTATTCAGGGCATGAACCTCCACTTTAAAAATTTGCAATTTCTTACCTCTGCAGTTCTCTTTATTTCATCCAATATTGGTTGTTTTTGTTGCAAGCTAATGAAATTTATTACAGGTTTCAAGGCCGTATAAGCAAGCTGAATTTGAAATTATATTTGGAGAGGGGGTCAGCAAACTGGTTGGTTTAACTGTTTGAAATTATATTTGTGTGTGCCCGATGTGTATATTTTGTTGCTCCTTACTCCAAGACTCGTGTAATTGACTTTGTAATTGACTTTGACTTATTACCTAGGGTTGTATGTTGGATTGCGCTGAAATGACTGACGTTGTCTTAAAGAAGGGCTCGTGGTATAGCTATGGGGACAACAGGTTTGGTTCTCTCAAATTTTGTGTGTTTAAATGATTATACAATTCGAAAGTGCATTTTCCCTCGTATTATTTGTATTAGTAGTGCAATTAGTCATCTGTTCTATTTTGTGTAATAGCAAGACTTAGAAACACGTCAATTCCCTCTTGATATTGTTGAAGCGAATGTGGACACCTTATTCTACTTATCTTGTCGTTGAAATGTAGATTGGGGCAAGGAAGAGAGAGAGCACTGCAACACCTAAGAGAAAATCCCCAACTGTGTGAAGAAATCGAGACGGTATTACTTTTTCATAACGCGCAAGTAATTTGCCTTTTAAGTGAAAACCTCGTTTAAGAAACAATGTGAAATTACAACAGAAGCCCTTGTGGCTTTAAATCCATGTATACAATACCTTTCCTATACCATTGGTTAGTTTTATCACTTCATGTTTATTGCTATGAGGATTCTAAAGAACATATTTTGCAAATGTTAACATATTTATATTTTTTTTGTTTTGCAGAAAGTTCGAGCTGTGGTGTCAGATAACATTGGGCAAGTAGGTTCGTATGCAAAGTCTTCCCTTCCGCAAACTGATGAAGAAGATGTGTACCAAGAGATGCAATGAGACAGATCACAAAATTGGATCTTTTCTCTCTTTCCTTTGCCTTTAAGAAGAAATTGGTCTTTGAGAGGACACAATTCGCCACCTAAATTTTGGGGTGATTGAGAATGTATCCATTTCTGTATAAATATTGGTACATTTTTCATGTGATGTTTAATAGAATGCAGTTCAAAGCTTCAAGCTCTCCTAGTACTGCGTAGCTACCCTAATATCATTTAATAATGACCAATTTTGTCTTTTAATTCCAAACTAGTACGTAGCCCGTGCGATGCACGGGACATAAATATTAAATGATTCATTTCCACATAGCTTGTCCGTTAAGCTCGTGCGATTCACTGGAGATATTAAATGAGTGGATCATAGGACTTGTCCATTCAGGCCTAAAAAATAATAGAATTTGATCATCTATTTTTTTAGATTTTTTCATCAACTTCATTTTTTTTTTGGAACATTAAACCTGAGTCTGGTAGTGGTAGTCCGTAAATTAATTAATATATTATCTCGCTCACATTTTTATAATAATATAAATTTGATTTCATTATATATATTTATTCCTTGATATAAGAAAAATAACAATTTTACGTAATCTTGTTCCTCGTATAGTACTCATATTATTTTATTATAAAATTTATTGTAATATAATGTCATTATTATTATTTATACAAGTTATAGATGTAATCTTTTTTTTTTTTTGTTTTATGTAATTAAAATATTTAATGTATGTTCATATTAATTATTAATGTAATTAATTTAAATTATGTAAATAAATTTAAAGTAAACATTTTGTACAAACATTTTACAAAATATACACAAATGTTTTTTTAGAATTTAATTTTTTTATAATAAATAAACATCTTTGAAATTCTATGCAATTATTAAAACCGATTAAATCTGCTTTATTAAAACCGATTAAATCTTTATTTATAGGCTTGACATTAAAACCGATTTTATGGCATTTTTTTAACTAAATCGATGTTATGGGATAACACAAATTTATACTTACATTTGACTTTTCCAAGAAAGGTAAAAAAATCAGTTCTGATTTTTATCCCATAAAAAATCTTTAATGTCAAGCCTATAAATATCAAAACAAATATGTAATTAATGTCATTCTATTTCCAACAAACATTAATTACCTTTAACTTTTCTGCCTACTATTTCTAGTAAATAGGATGACTTTTTATATAAATATAGATAAAGCGGTCTGTGTACTTGAACCCCGGCCAAATGCATGTCTCATGTTCCGCCATTATCCATTTGGCGCCGTTTGCACCTTCAAGATTTATTTCAACCATATTTTCAGTCAAATATAATACAAAACACCTGCGACATAGTTTAATAAAACTAGTTAAATTTCTAAAATAATTACATAAATTGTGATGAAACAAGAAAATGAATCACTTTAAAATGTATGTAAAAATAACCTACGTCAAAAAATTGCTAAGAATCCAAAACGAACAAGTTCAGGTGAACTAACATTGTCTTGCGCTGGCCCAGTCGATATGCATTAGTTTTTGGTCTTATACATCTATAATAGCACACATAAGTGTTATTAGATTATACTGGAAATTTTCCAGAGCTCTTTACATTAATGTTCATTAAAATTTTAAAATTCATTTTATCTTTAAGGAGAACGTATATTTGTTTTTTCATTTGTTTACCTGTCATGTTCACCCTCTCCTAATAAACCTGTTATTACTATTTGTTTATATATACTCAATTCCTTGACTTCAGATTAAACCTTTCTTTTCCTTTTCCGTGAAGGAATTTTTAAAATATAAAAACAATTTAAAAAGAAAAAATTATATAAACGAACATGTGAAAGTGCCAAAGTGGTTGCAAGTTTGAACTTTAAAAATTATAGTGTAATGGTCATGAGTAGTGACGTCTTTCAATGGGAATTAATCAAATAAAATGGGAAAACGAGGACATACATATCACATACACATGGAGTCCACACAAAGTTCGTTGGCCATGGTTGACATTTTACGCGCGACGGAATTTGTCTTGATAGCATGTCAAAAATGTCAACGCTCTTGCCTAAAATTTCAGAATCTAATTTTGCCCTTTGAATTGTCAAATGTTCCTCAACGTTGTCGTACGGATTTCATTTTTTACATGTTGAATTCCTACATCTTGTTAATAATAATCAACTTGCAATATCATATATATATATATATATATATTATATATCTATATATTAATTTAAAATGTATTAGATTTGTGCATGTCTCTGATATATGTGGCATGAATGTATACTTCATGTTGACACATTTATTAGTCTTTGTTTTGGCTATTAATTTTTAAACTAGTACGAATCTCGTGCGATACACAAGTAAGAGTATTCGTTAATATTTATAAACTAAAAATATAGAATCAATATGTAATAAAATTTATCTGTATTAATTTAATGAAAATGTTATATAAAGTTAAATTGTGCAAAATTACATAAAAATGTATATTTAAAATTAATACACAACCCGTGCGGTACACATAACTGATGATAAATTACATTATATTCTTTTCAAAATAAGTGTCATTTTAAATTTTTACTCAAAAATTCGATTTGACTATAATGTGATTCAATAAAATAATTATTTTGGTAAAATTTTATCATATATTAAAAACCTACATGAATAATAAGTATATATATAAAAATTTATATAATTTCATTAATTAGAATAACTTTATTTTTATATAAACTCTCTAAATCAAAAAAATTCAAGTAGTTGAATAGATTATTACACTATAAATAATTGAATACTAGTACGAATCACGTGCAATGCACGAGTAAGAGATATTCATTAATATTTATAAATTAAAAATTTTCATTAAATAATATTTGTAAATTAAAAATATAGAATCAATATGTAATACAATTTACCTATATTAATTTATTTAAATGTTATATAAAAATAAAATTATGCAAAATTACATAAAAACATGTCTATTTAAAATTAGTACACAACTCGTATGGTAATTATAACTGATAATAAATTATATTATATTCATTTCAAAATAAGTGTCATTTTAAAATTTTTATCCAAAAATTCAATTTGAATACAATGTGGTTCCATAAAATAATTATTTTGGTAAAATTTTATCATATATTTAAAAATCAATGTGAATAATAAGTATAATATTAAAATTTATATTGTTTCATTAATCAAAATAAATTTATTTTTGTATAAACTATCCAAATAGAAAAATGTAAGTAGTTGAGTAATTTATTAAATTATGAATATTGACTATTCTATTTACGTCCAAGATAATATTGACCCGTAAGTTATAAATAATTACTTATTTGCATTTTAAATTTGGAACCCAAATTTGGACTACACAATAAATCCTCTTATATATTTTATATATCTATATTGTACTAATCTCGAAATTTTTTTGATTTATTGTCGGTTACCTTGTCGTTCAAATTTATCAACTAATTCTTTAGAACTAAATTACAAATTTTAAACTTTATTAACAAATATTTGTTCAAGTACCTTTCTAAGTTTCAAAAGGAAGACATACCAATTTGCTATCATCAATAACTTATGACAAGTTAGTATGGGAACATGCTAAAATTTGAGAATTTTATCACCGTAATTTTATAACAAATCAACCTAAAATTCGACTTTCATACCCATACTAATTATAAGATTCATACCACTTATTTTATTTTCAAAATTTTCAAATACACTACTATCCATACCATTAAAATTCAGACATTTCATACCAAAATAAAATCGCTCTCTTTTTATTCATCATGAAACTCAACTATTATTTTATTCTAAAATTTATTGTCATATAATATGTATTAAGATAATTTTTAATTAACTACCGAGTTTTATTATATGTAAATATTTTTATATTTATAACAAACTAAATTTTATACTCTTAGCTTACAGAACATGAAATTTTATTTACCCTACGTCGTATAAGTAACAAAACGCGATGAATTACGTTATAAACATTTTAAAACACTTTCGATGTTGTTGTGATTGTATTCATCAATTGGGTCTAAACACTAATAAATATGTTTATTACAAAATTAAATCCTTAAATATATTTTTTATCGGGGTTTTCAGCAATATTATACAATGTAGAAAATGGCCATTAAAAGTCACTATGCCACAAAAATAATAATTTGATAGTTAGATAAACGTTTTCAATAAATATATATTTTATAATATGAAATACCCAAATAATAATCTTATAGTTAGATAATTTTGTCACGTTATTATAAGGATAAATAAATGAATGAATTTATATTCAACAGTATACATATATTTTTTATTCAGAATCAATATTGTCAATAAATCTTCAAGGTAAAATATAAGAATGTATTATTATTTTCCTCGAAAGTGCTCAACCACAATCATTTGTGCAATTTAGTTAATAAATATTGATGCTAAATGTACACACAACAATTTGTATCTATCATGATCCAAAAGATTTGAAAAATTTTAGAATATATCTCGCCTCGATTTCACAACCAAACTATTTGAAAATTTTAAACCACACAACAAATTGGCATTGGGGGATTTTACCAAGAAATTCATAAAAAAATTCCGTAAATGGTAAAAAACGAAAAAAAAGCGAGAAAAAAACATGTTATTTTTGGATTTTTTATTAGCTCTATTATTTAGTAATAGATTCTATTTATGTCTAAGTTAATATTGACATGTAAATTATAAATAATTGTTTATCTAATTTTTAATTTTAAATAATTTTTTTCCCTAATATAATATATCAAATTTAAATTATGCAACTAAGGTAATAGTCGTAAGTTTTGTCAATAAGTTATATACTAAATTTAAGTCATGCAACTAATAAAAGTAATAATTGCAAGATTTGACCAAATTGATTCTGTACATTAATTACATTGATTGTTTTAATTTGAATTTCAAATGATTTGTTGCCACTTTTTAAAATATTTAAAAAGTTACTAATAAAATAAAATTGAAATTTTTTCTCGGGATTTTAGTTACTATTTCAGGTAAATACAAACCTTTTTATACATATATAGATATAGATATAGATTATTGCAAATATTAAATAAAAATTATTTAAGGAAACAATATTTTTGATCATATCTGATTTGATCTTATTTGACAATGTGTTTATAAAAGCAATTAATGCATATACTTAAAAGATTCCAAAAAAAAGATATGCATTAAATACTCCCAAAATTTTTGGCTACTATTTGTAGTAAATGATTATTCTTATTATATATATACTAGTACAGAGCCCGTGCGATGCACGGGTTACACAA